CAGTTTGTTTGGCCCCGGGATCCAGCCCCAAACGCTGTGGGAGCTCAGCACACACCATCTTGCTGCTGTCGCTGCTCAGCTGGGGGCACCATCCAGGAAATTGGGGCGCAGAGGGACACAGGTCCCATTGCACCCCAATGAGACACCCTCAGGACCTGGATGAAGCTGTGCTGGTGGCACCGCTCGTCTGGAAGACCAGTGACAGCCGGGGACAAGCCGCTCGGCCTCTTATCAGCAGAGGCACCCGGGGTTTATGGCCCCCCAAGGGGGTGTCCCCCCGGGGACGAGCCGGCCGGGAGCTATTCCTGGGTCTGACGCAGGCGGCTGTGCTGGTCCACAGATGGGGGCTCCATCTTTGCGAGCCCTTGGGAAGGAAATGCTGTTTCCTGCCGTGGGAGGCGGGGATGGGGTGAGCCGGGGTGGGGGGCACCCCCGTGGGCATGCAGCCCTCCTGGTGTGGCACCCCACCACCCCCTACCCTGCACCCCCCCACTTGCCCATGTGCTGTGGGGCTGCCCAGGATCCGCGAGTCCCTCTCAAAATCTCACCAAGTGCCAGAAGGTTTTGCAAATCCCATAAGTGGGAAAATTATGAAGCTGGAGGGGTTTCGGTGGCCCCTGCCCTCCAGTCCCTCGCTCTGCCGCCTGCCAAAACCCTTCCTGAGAGTTTTGCAGCACAGCCACATCCTGACCCCAAATGAGGAGCGTGGAGCCCCAAGGGATGCCTGGCACAGCAAACCCCGTTGAGACCACGAGGAGTTGTGCCAGGGTGAGAGAGCCGCAGCGGTGGGCGCTGGTGACCTGCAGCATCCACAAGCGGCATCACCCCCAGCACCCGTCCCCCTCTGCCAGGATCAAGCCCCAAACCCTCAGGGGAGATGTTGACCCTGGACACATTGCTGCTGCTTGGGTGGGCATGAACCCCCCTTCTTGCACCCAGCTCTGCCTGGGGCCAGCAGGGAGCTGTAGCGGGCAACCGGTGTGGGGATGCTGCACCCTTGGGTGGTGCTGGAAGCAGACCCCTGCCCATGCCACCCTGTTGCCCGTACCCCCCATGTTCCCCCCCCCTCACCCTACCTTCATCAGCCACTGGGTGCTGTTCTCCAGGATCCTCTCCAGGTGCTGCAGGCGCTGGGTGGCCCCGTGGCTGGCGTGCGCGGTGCCAGCTGGCGAGTCCCGCTGCAGCAGCGCGTTGGCAGGGCCGGGGTCAGCGGGGAGAGGTGGGCACGGCGGTGGGTCAGCCTCGGGCAGCACGAAGGTGTAGCTACAGTGTCCATGCTGCACCCGGTGGTAACGCCGGCGGCCGCCCCCCTCCAGCGCCCGGCGCTGGGCTCCGGCCACGCACAACGCCGTGGTGGCACAAGTCAGGGCCAACAGGCCAAGGCTGAGAGCCCGCATGGCGCGGGGGTCCCCACGGTGAGAGAGGGGTGGCACGGCCGGGGATGTTCAGGCACTTCCCCGGGTGGATGCGACGCGGCTTTTTTTGCCAGGACGGGTCAGTGGGCGCTCGTCACCGAGTCAAAACGCTGCGATTTCGGCATTTCCTCCCTCTGAGCTGGCTCTGGCCGCCCCGGCCTTTTATCGCCAGGCGGCCGCAGCCCTCGCAGGGGGAGAGGGGAAAAAAGAAAAAAAAAAAAAAAAGAAAAACAAAGGAAAAAATCTGTTTAAAAACAATACTTCTATCTTTTTTCTCTCCTCCTAGCCCACTGCGGGGAGATCAAGTTTCACACGTGATCTATAAATGTCTCGCACACACACACACACACGCACACACTCGTACAAGCAGCCCCCATCCCGCCCCCGGTTACACGCACCCGCCAGCCCCCCCTGGCCGTTCTCTGCACAGCTCATTGCACCTCCCAGGGTGGGCAGCAGGGCTGGGCTGCCCATGCCAGCACCAAGCTTTCCCCTCCGGTCACAACATCCAAACAAATCCCCCTCCATCAGCACCCGCTGGCACCCACCGCCCCCCGGACACCCCCATCCCAGGGAGCAGAGCTCCCTCCCCATGTCCTGGCTATTTATAACGCTGGAGGGAGCCAGGCCTGGATTTGGCTGCTCTGGCCACGGGATGAGCCTGTGGGGACCAGGACGGGGCTGTGTCCCAGGCGGAGCTTGGCAGGACCCAGCCAGACCCTGCCCATGGCTTGGGGTGCCCAGTTCCCAGTTTGGGGGTCTGCCAGGGGCTGGGACGGCTGCGTGCCAGAAACTGGGGGTCACCACTGCTGCCAGCCTACGTGCTGGGTTAGATGTAGGCTGGGTCCCTCAGGAGGGGACAATCACAGCCGTGGGGACAGGATAGCACAGAACAGCGGACTTCCCTGGGCATGGGAATGCCCACGCATCTCAGGAGAGGGTGATTTTCTCCCAGCACGGTGGGGCACAGGGGGTGTCCCTGCATGCCAGGCTGCTCACACAGCTCTGGGACCAGGGAAGGGACGCTCTGCTGTCCCAGTCATGCTGGGATGGCTGGGGATGCTGGAATGGCTGGCACGAACCATGCTGCACGGTGAGTGGGGTGCTCCCGGCCCCCCAGGAGAAACGCCGGAGCTCCTGCGGTGATGGTGTGCTGTGGTTGTGCCTTCAGAGTAACTGGATTATGTGGCTGGACTGGAATTACCCTGTGAGCGGGGCCCTGTGAGACCCGCTGCTCTCACCCAATTAGCAACCAGCTTAACGAACCCCTAGGTGCAGAGCTGAGCCCAGAATACCTGGGGGGCAGAGGTCCCGGTGAGGCTGCTTGTCACTGGCTTGGGCACCAAGTGATGCTGGTGATGCTTTAAATAAAGATTTTAAATTAAAATCTTTCGCCAGACACCCCTGCTGCCTGGGGGGCAGGGCAGGATGCCACACCGAGGGGCACAGGACAGAGGGGTCCGATGCCAGTGGCTGCAATTCCAGGGGGACACAGGGGTGACATTGTGGTGACAGCCATCATCCAGGTCCCCCTCCAGCAGCGCTTCATGGAAACGAGGAAAAGAGGGAGGCGAGAGAGATGCCGGAGGTTTAATACATTTATTTGATGTTAAGCAAACGGAGGAGCTGCTCCGGCAGCTTCGTGTGGGCGCCTGGGGCTGGCTCGATGCTGACACCCAGCGCTCTCACCCTGAAGGGTCTGCGCAGCCCCCGCAGCCCCGACACCCCACTTCCAGACCTGGCCTCCCCCTGCCCACGCTTAGAGCAGGAACGGGGGGCTCTGACCCCGGGAAAGCCCCAAATATAGAGACACCTGCAGCTGGGGCAGCGATTTTGAGCAAAACACATGTTAAAGATGCTGATACAGCCTTCTGTGCCTCCCGGACATACATCATTTATTTCTGCAGGCGATGTGAGCGCGGCAGCCAGCTCGGCAGGACAGACTGGCACAGCCGGGCTCAGCTCCAGGTGACATTTGGGAGGTGGCCAAGGTGGCTGCTCCCAGAGCATCCTGGTTGGAGGATGCAGGAGGCAGCAGCATCCCCTGCCTGGATTCGCTCCGGCAGCTGCAGCTGCAGCATGTGCACCCCCTGTCCTGGACCAGAATATGGCCAGAGCCACCCCAAAATTCCTGTGCCCACATCCAGCTGGGGAGAGATGATCCTCCAGCCCTTCCGTGAGCCTGAGGACGGCAGGATTTGGCCCTCAGTTGTGCCACTGGGGATGCTGAGCACTGAGAAGGCACGGTCCCCAGCATCCTCCCCAGCCTGGGGTGCCCGCTGCCCTCTGAGCTTGAGGATGACAGGATTTGGCCCTCAGTTGTGCCACTGGGGATGCTGAGCACTGAGAAGGCACGGTCCCCAGCATCCTCCCCAGCCTGGGGTGCCCGCTGCCCTCTGAGCTTGAGGATGACAGGATTTGGCCCTCAGTTGTGCCACTGGGGATGCTGAGCACTGAGAAGGCACGGTCCCCAGCATCCTCCCCAGCCTGGGGTGCCCGCTGCCCTCTGAGCTTGAGGATGACAGGATTTGGCCCTCAGTCGTGCCACTGGGGATGCTGAGCACCAGGCTGGGATGCTGTCAGAGATGGTACGGTCTTCAGCCACCTTCCATGACGGTGAGTGAGGATGGGGGACCTTATCCAGCACCTGGAGCAGCTCGGTGGCACGTTCTGCACCCCAGCATCCCCGTGCCATCAAGGAGACCATGGGGACAGAACATCTCCCAACCCTGGGGGGACAGTACCCAGGCAGGCACAGGGTGCAACCCTTGGGATCAACCCCATCCCACCCTGCGTGGAGGAAGGGTAGGGAGCGACCAGGCTGGGGGAGAAGGCAAAACAGCAAAATAAAATAAGCCACCCCCTCCCCGAGCCCCAGGGCATTGCTTTGGACGCTGCAAATTGGATTTTCTGAAAAGGAAATGTTTTACAGGCCATAAATTGTCTCAAAAGAAAATGGGAGGAGTGTTGGGGGGAAGGGGGGCAGGGGGGGAAAGAAGAAAATTGTGCAATTTTTTTTTGTGGATGGAAAAACAGGGGCGACGTGGCCGGGGCAGCACGGCGGTAGCCAGTCGGGAGCTCTC